GTGTTTCCTCAGTGCAGTGTCTGTGTTTCCTCAGTGCAGTGTCTGTGTTTCCTCAGTGCAGTGTCAGTGTTTCCTCAGTGCAGTGTCTGTGTTTCCTCACTGCAGTGTCTGTGTTTCTTCACTGCAGTGTCTGTGTTTCCTCACTGTAGTATCCCTTGTTTCCTCACTTGCTTCCACAGGTGGCTGAGTTTGTGGATGAGCGTCCAGAAGAAGTAAAGCAGATGGAGGCCTTTCGCTCTAGTGCCAAATGGAAGCTTCTGGGAGGTGAGTTTCAGCAAGAGATAAAGCTCAATTTCCCATTTGTAGAGTAGGCCTTTTTTTACTTTTTTACATTTTCGTTTTAGAGGAATGCATAGTTTGTTTCATTGTGTCAGTGGTTGTGAAAAATATGATAGAAAAAAGAATTCAGGTCTTGTAGGATGTGGGAAGTTAGAGGGTTAGAACAAGACTTATTTAGAAGTCTTTCAGACCTACTCCTCTCTGTCCCAAACAGGAAATCTCTTGGTATATGGAAGGACTTTATAAGAAATAGGAACGCAGCTGGGTGTGGTAGTGCACACCTGTAGTCCCAGCACTTGGGAGGCAGAGGCAGAGGCAGGAGGATTTCTGTGAGTTCCAGGCCAGCGTGGTCTACATAGTGAGTTCCAGACCAGCTGGGGCTACTGGGAGACCCTATCTCAAAAAGACCGAAAAAAAATAAAAAAAAAAAAGAAGAGAGAAACGGTTTGGAGGCACTACTTTTCTAGAATTGAATGGCTTATGTGTGGACCAGGCCCCAGTGTTTGTCATTTCAGTTTGTGACTAAGCTGTGCCATTTTACAGTGCACTAACCCTTACTTGCTCACTTGAGACTTGCTCCCTAGGCTAGTAATTCAACTCTCTAAAAAAATTTTTTGAGTCCTTGATAATTAGTCACAGCTGTCTGGGCAAGCACTTTAAAAAAAAGAAATAGCATGCTGGGTGCGGTAGTGCATCCCTTTAATCTGAGCACTCAGGAGGCAGAGGCAAGTGGATCTCTTGTCAGATTAGGTCCAGCCTTGTCTATGTAGTGAATTCCAGGCCTGCTGATCTCATAGCCAAAAAATAATAATAGTAGTAATAAGAGCAGGGGTTTATTTGGGGCAGGGATGTGTTTGCCTGGTTTCCCCTTGTCTAGCACAAGGAGGTATTCTCAGCATTAGCTGCTGAACTGATTCTTGCAGTCTGTAGTTCTTTGGCATCACTGGGCGCTTAGCAGCCATTCTCCTTTGCAGAAATCTAGTGTGGTGGCCTACCTGCTAAGGGATACAGACCAGTGACCAGCACTCTGTCCAGTCATCGTGCTGGCTCTGTGTGGCGGCCAGTGGAAGCATGCTGGAATTTTTGCCTCTTTGTTCTTTCAAAAACATGGGTCTGCCTCTTCCTCCTCCTTTATGTATAAAATGGGAATAATGATGTTTATTGTTTAGATTTGTGAGAAGTAATCTGAATAAAGTATTGGTACATAGTAGAGAACCAGAAAATGGTTGATTTTTTTCTTTCTTTTTTATTTTTATTTCTTTTTTTTTTTTAAAAATATTTATTATTTTTTATTTTATGTGTATGAGTGTTATGCCTGCATGTAGGTTAAGTGCACCCATGTCATACAATGCCCGAGAAGGACAGAAGAGGCTGTCGGTCCCCTGGAACTGGAGCTATGGACAGTTGTTAGCTGCCATGTGGGTGGTGGGATTCCAACCCGGGTCTTGTGCAAGAACAGCCGGTGTTCTTAACCACTGAGCCATCTCTCCAGCCCCGATTTTTCTTTTTTTTTTCTTTCTTTTTGCTGATTTACCCACTCAAACAAGGAGCACAAAGACCATGAACTAGATACTTAATAACATTTCATTTTGATGTGCACAGGTTTTGCTGATGTATCTTTTTTTTTGTCTTTTTGGAGACAGGGTCTCCCTGTAGTCCCAGCTGACCTGAACTCACTATGTAGACCAGGCTGGCCTTGAACTCACAACTATCCGCCTGCCTCTGCCTCCTGAGTGCTGGGATTAAAGGCATGTGCCACCACGCCCGGCTGCTGATGTATCTTTTGAAAGAAGAATGTGTAAAACTATAAATTATCAAAGAACCACCTGGCACGCTACAAATGAGATTATAGAAACATTGGATTGAGAGTTAAAAAATTGGGTTGTTGCCTGTCTCCTTAGTAACTGTAACCATAGGAAGGCAATCACTTAGTTCCTCAGAACCCTGCCCTATGGACCTTACAGGGCATACTGTGAAAAATGTACCCAATATGCTTTGCAAATTGGGGTCTTGGCATGCAGATGAAAGGCGTTATTTTCGAGCTATCTGCGAATGCCATTCTGCTACTGTTTTTCTTTTTTTTTTTTTAGTTATTTTTATTTTATGTGTATGCATGTATTGCCTGTGTGTAAGTAGGTGCACCTGTGTCGTGCAATGCTCGTGGAGGACAGAAGAGGCTGTTGGATCCCCTAGAACTGGAGTTTCAGACAGTTGTTAGCTGCCATGTGGGTGCTGGGATTTGAACCCGGGTCTTCTGCAAGAACAACCAGTGTTCTTAACCACTGAGCCATCTCTCCAGCCCCCATTTTGCTATTGTTAAGCAAGTGAGTCAGCAGACCTTTCTGGCTTTCCAAGAAGTCTGGAGATGTGTGCATTTGGGGCATCTTTGGAAACCGAGTAAGAGATAGGCAGAATACTTGTGGGACTCTGACTCTTTGCTTTTGTGTTTAGGCCACAGGGAAGACCTACCCTCAGATGGACATTTCCATCATGATGACCAAGATCCATCCCCTCCCAGGAGGGTCCGTCGTGATACCCCAGATCCATCCCCTCCCAGGAGGGTCCGTCGTGATACCCCAGATCCATCCCCTCTCAGGAGAGTCCGTCATGATACCCCAGATCCATCCCCTCCCAGGAGGGTCCGTCATGATACACCAGATGCATCCCCTCCCAGGAGGGTCCGTCATGATACCCCAGATCCATCCCCTCCCAGGAGGGTCTGTCGTGATATACCAGATGCATCCCCTCCCAGGAGGGTCCGTCATGATACCCCAGATCCATCCCCTCCTGGGAGGGTCTGTCGTGATACCCCAGATGCATCTCCTCCCAGGAGGGTCTGTCATGATACTCCAGATGCATCTCCTCCCAAGAGGGTCCGTCATGATACCCCAGATCTGTCTCCCCCAAGGAGGGGGCATCAGGTCTTAGATGCTTCTCCTCCTAGGAAGTCTCATCGTAATTCTTCAGGTGTATCTCCTAGGAGAGTACATCGTGGTTCCTCAGGCATCTCTTCCCCCAGAAGGGCCAATAACCACTCTCCTGACACAGCCCAACATAGGAGGACCCTGAACTCTTCAGACTCACAGCATCTTAAACGGGCCCATCATGATGCCCCTGATTTAGCACTGCCCAGAACCAAAATTAGTAAAGCCCCAGAAAGATCATCCTGGAAGACTTTGCATCAGAAGGAGCTGGGACCCTCTCACCCCCCGTTCTCAAAAACCAGCAGGCATGAGCGTGACTCAGACCTTTCTCCGCCACGTAAAAGGCAAGCTAAACCCCATGTTGGAGCTAAGAAGCAGCTTGATTCTCAAGGTGAGCATGTGGCTGTGTAAGAGGGACCTAATCCCCATGAGTAGGAGAATGAATTTCTTTGAAAAGGTTTTGAAAATGAGGCTAGGCTTAGAAGAGTTGAAGAAGTTACAGGGCTGGGGGCATGTTTCATGTCCTTTGTTTTCTCATCCTACCCCTGTATAAGGGCAAGGGCCAGTGAGGTAGCTCAGCAAGTAAATGCACAGGCCTCACAAGCCTTGATGACCTGAGTTCAGTCCCTGGAACCCATGATGAAAGGAGAAAAATGACTCCCAAAAGTTGACCTCTGACCTCCCATGTGTGCGCCTGTACTCACACGCACACATCATACATATACGTGCACAAAATAATATTGAATAAAAATGAAAAATGCTATGTCTCGCAGGAATTTCAGAATGAATAGAAATGTATAAAGATGCAGAAAAATGTTTCACAGAATTTGTCATTCAGAGGCCATTGCCATTATGTTGTAGCCAGTGTCCTTTGGGTCTCTTTGGTGTGCTCATTTGGTGTAGTTGAGCTTGGCTGTGAGGAGCATGCCTGTAGCATGTATCATCTTGCCTGCTCTCTTAACAGAGTTATTCCTGGGTCTACAAATATTCTCTACATTACGGTAATTTTAATTAATTACTTGTTTTGGTTTTGTTGGGACAGGGTTTCCCTGTATTCCCAGCTGGCCCAGAACTTGCTATATAGACCAGGGTGGGCTTGATCTCACAGATAAACCTGACTCTGCCCAAGGGCTGGGATTAAAGGTGGTCATGTTACTGTAATTTTTTAATTTTTTTTTGGTCTTTTTGAGACAAGGTCTCCCTGTAGCCCCAGCTGTCCTGGAACTCACTTTGTAGACCAGGCTGGCCTTGAACTCACAGAGATCTGCCTGCCTCTGCCTCCTGAGTGCTGGGATTAAAGGCGTGCGCCACCACACCTGGCTGTTACTATAATTTTTAATTGTGTTATATTAAATTTACTTTATCCATTTCCCTAAGATTGTATGCTTTTGGTTATTTTTAACTTTGCTGTTAAGAATCTGTAGCAGTCATTCTTGTAAATACAGTTTTGGCAGCACTGTGGATTATTTCCCTATCTGCTTCTGTATAGATCTCCTAGGGATTTAATTGATAGGTTTTCTAGAAAGCTGAGCAGTTGGTTTGCCAGGTCAGAATGTGTGGGTGTTTCAAAGATTTAACACACACTGTAGGTTGCTTTTCAGGAGGTGAATGGTGAGGCTGCTATCTAGAACAGGTCTATGCAGGAAAAGTTTGTACTCCATCTTTTGTCCCAATGTTCTGTTTCAATTTTTAAATTGAAATACTTAGTTTTCCTTAAGTCTGAGGACAGGAACATATATTCTATGTCTTCCTGATTTTTGCCATATCACAGCGGGCTGACTCCAGGTTGCTCTGCCTGTTCTCCCAGATGGGGTGGCTGTGGGGTGTCTAAAGCATAGATGAGTTGCTAAGCTCTCACATGCTCTTGGTATTCAGTCAGCAGAGACCAGTGACTGGGGAGCAGAACCCTATGGTCTGCCTATTGCTATACAAAGTTGCCCCTGACTTTGTTCTTCCTCTTACCACTTTACTTGTGTTTGGGTAGTGATGGTTCTTCACAGGATGACTAAATCGATACTGTGCCCTAGCTTGGTAAGTTCTTTTTAAAACATTCTTCCAAGTGGATTAACTTTGCCTCCCTCCTTCCCATACCCCTTGCTGGGGCCAAAACCAGGGCCTTAGACATGCCAGACAAGCACTTGACTGCTGATCTACCCCACCCCATCCTTAATTTATTCTTAATTTCTAGGCTTGTCTAGCCACAGGAGATCTCATTCAAGTTCGTTACCTAGGAGACATCAGTCAGACATACTTTGGGCTCTTTTTTTTAACTCAGGTGTCTGCCAAAAAACCTCTGATTCAGATCTTTCTCCTCCATGGCAAAAATCAAATCGAGGGCACCAGGATTCTGATTCAGATCTGTCGCCACCAAGGAATAGACAGAGACCCCAGAACTCTGACTCTGACCTCTCTCCACCACGAAGAAGGCAGAGGACCAAGTCTTCTGATTCTGATCTCTCTCCACCTCGAAGGAATCCACCTGCCGGGAAGAAGGTAGGATTTCCAGGAGCTGCAGCTCATCGTAGTGACTTTCTGGCTTTATAGACATATCAGAGAATCAAACCAGAGGATGAGGAGGTAGCACAGTAAATCTGAGTTACAAGGACATCTGGAACTTCCTTTCTCTCCAAAGGCAACACTGGCTGTAACTCAGCTCAGATGGATTTGCAAACACAGGCTTGAGGATCTCTTGTCCAAGTGCTTAGGACCCAGAGTGGTTAAGATTTCAGAGATTTTCAGATTTTGGAATATTTGCATAAACCAGTTGAGAGTCTGTAATCTAAAGATGACACTAACACACTTCCATAGCCCCGATTGGCCTGGAACTCGCTATGTAGACCAGGCTGGCCTTGAACTCACAGAGATCTGCCTGCCTCTGCCTCCTGAGTGCTGGGGATCAAAGGCGTGTGTCACCATGCCTGGCCTCACATATCTCATTTTATTGACTTCTATTTTTATTTAAAAAATATTTTATTTACTATTTTTATGTGTAGGAATGAAATGCCTGCGTGTAGGTTGGTGCACCAATGCCCTCAGAGGTCAGAAGATGGCATCATATCCCCTGGAATTGGAGTTATGGATGGATGTCAGCTGCCATGTGGGTGCTGGGACTTGAACCTGAGTCCTCTGCAAAAGCAGCCAGTGCTCTTGACCGCTGAGCCATCTCTCCAGCGCATATAATCTCATTTTAAAGATTTCTTTATTATTTTTATTAGTGTATCTGTGAGTGTATGGCATGTGTGGTATATGCCGTGTGTGCGGGTACCCGTGGTGGCCAGAAGAGGGCATTGCATTCCCCTTGATAGAGTTACAGGCAGTTGTGAACTACCTGATATGGGTGCTAGAACTGAACCCTGGCTTCTGGAAGAGGTTCTCTTATCCACTGAGCCATTTCTCTAGCCCCCTCAAATCTCATTTTAATAGCTCCAGAAAAACTCTCTTGTTTTCCATTTGTTGTTTTCATAAAGGATCTCAAGTAACCCAGGCTAGCCTTGAACTCACTATGTAGGTAAAGATAACCTTTAACTCCTGGTCCTCCTGCCTCCACTCCCAAGTGCTAGGATTACAGGTATGTACCACCTGATATCCTAAGAGCAAATTGAGGGTTATAGTTTACAGAATGGAATCAGGAGCACAAATCTGGGTGAAAGTGATCACAGCTTTGAATCCTACTTCTGCTACTTAGTATCTGTGACATCTCTATGTCTCAGCTTTTTTAGCTGTAAAAGAAGGTAATAAAACTGGATAATTGCAGTGTTTACTTGATAGGTAATTGTAAGAATTAAGTTAGTGTAAATAAAACTCATAAAGTATTAGTGGTATTAATGGTTTGTTATAAATGGAATTCTAGGTCTCTCTATCCATCCAGATGATATAAAACTGCTTTTACAGATCCTATTGTCAGTGTTTTGTTTTAACTTGTTTCAAATCTATGTAAAGAAAACCCCACATGAGCCTTTGATAGCCCCACTGAACACACCACTAGAGGACTCTTACTTTTCAGGTGGTTAAGAATAGAAAGATGGTGCCTGTGAGCTCATGTTTCTCCCCAAGGCAGACTTCTCAGATAGCTTTTTCTCCAGCATGCCTGAGATGTCTGTTCATGCAGGGAAGATCAGCCTGTCACTAACCTCTTTGAAGAAAGAAGAGTCAGGACTCTGTGTGAGTTTGAGAGCTCTGGACATTTTCTGTATTTTAGTCCATGGGCAACTTAATATTAATCAAATTTAGTTACTTAAGGATGTCAGACTATACCATGCGCTCTGTTTGTGGGTTGAGGATTGCTATGTTTATACAAAGTGGAGATTAGTGTGAAACTTCCTTTTGGTCATATCATCTGTTATTATCTTTATTATAGCCATAATTTGAGGATCTTTAGTTTACTTGAGCTTCTACTTTCAATGGAATATTTCGTCAGTGCGGGTCTTCATCAGAGGACTCAAAGCCTGATGTAGGTTTCTCATCAGGGACTTGAGAGTGAGCCTTCCTGTGTGTAGTTTTTAATTGAAAAGTCAGAAATATGAATTCTAGCTGGGAGTGGTGATTATACACCAGGAGTCCTAACACTTGGGAGGTGGAGGCAGGAGAATCAGGATTTTAGGATTATCCTGAACTACAAAGTGAGTTGTTCTAGGCCAGCCTGGACTGTATGTGACCCTATCTCAAAGAAACAAAAAGAAGAAAATGAAAATTCTTAGTCCTCTCTTTATGTTGGTTAATTCTGTTTACTTTTAAACTTGATGGCTCTGTTAAGTTTTTAATAAAATTATATTTGTTTTTTTTCATTGGCTGTGAACACTGGTCAGTGATAAGACTATACAGCTAGAGTTCTTGGGTTGGTTATTGCTGACTGTCAGAAACTCAGTAGTTGTGTAGGTCTGTGCAGCCTGCTCCTGCCTGGCCTCACTGGCATTGGCTTTTGCCTTTTCTCTTGCACAGGCTTTGCACATGTATTCTGGAGCTAAAACTGGGTTGGTGACTGACATTCAGCAAGAGCAGCAGGAGCTCAAGAAACAGGACCAAGACACCATGGCCCTTGGAGGTAAAAATCTGAGTGTGCAGGGGCTGGCCTAGATTTCTGTAGTCTTTCCCTTTTCTGTTTTTAGATGTAGCTTGTTATATTTCTTGGCTTAAACTTTTAATTGCTGTCAATTTTTTGCTCAGGTTTTGATGCATCACTTTAACCTCAGTAGTCCAAGTGGTTATTTCCTTCTTGAAAAATGTCAGTCCTTGGGCACTCAGTATGTTGGTAGTCTGACTGCAAGAGTTCTTATCCAGTATCAAAATGCCAATCTGTTGCTCTCAACTGCTAGAAGATTGTTTCTGATTTTGATGCCTGGTATTTATCTTGGAAAATATAATTTTCCTTTGTAGCTCAGTTTCAATTTGCTGAAACTGTCTATCGAGACAAGTCTGGTCGTAAGAGGAATTTGAAATTGGAGCGTCTGGAACAAAGGAGAAAAGCAGAGAAGGACTCAGAGCGAGATGAACTCTATGCCCAGTGGGGGAAAGGGTAAGGGCACCCCTGAACAAGACTGGGGCTGGAACTTGTCATCACTCTGCCCTCAGAGTGGGTATGAGGAATGGACATTCAGCTGAATCTCCTGAGATGCTATAATCCTAGTTCCATTTGGTCTTCTTGGAATTCTACCCTTTATTAGTTAGCCTAGGCTACTACAATGAAGTTCTCCAAATGTAGCTTTGCGGTTTCAGTGTTGGAAGGGAATTGTCAAACAGGATGATTCTTTCTTGCCCAGGCTTGCCCAGAGTCGGCAACAGCAACAGAACATAGAGGATGCGATGAAAGAGATGCAGAAACCACTGGCCCGCTACATCGATGATGAAGATCTGGATCGGATGCTGAGGGAGCAGGAAAGAGAGGGGGACCCCATGGCTAACTTCATTAAGAAGAGTAAGGCCAAGGAGAGCAAGAATAAGAAAGGTGAGCCTTGGAATCAGCGGAGCTGGAGGAGACTGGGCAGAGAGTTGTCAGGACAGCTGTACCAAAGCTATGCCAAAGAAGGCTATTCCACACAGCTGTGACACTTTTGTATTTGAGAGTTGGGGTTCAGCACAGTAGGAATGCCCATTCAGAATGTTTCCCCCATTGCCATCCAGCTCTGAATTAAATTATACAGGTTGCTAATTTCTTTGTCTCATAACTGTCTTTAGTGAGGCCTCGCTACAACGGCCCGGCACCTCCTCCCAACAGATTCAACATCTGGCCTGGATATCGCTGGGATGGAGTGGACAGGTAGGGCTGTTTACTGTGTTGTTGGTTTCCCATCTGCCTGACCTTAACCTCTGTTTTTCTCTTTCTTTTCTCTTTTTGAGACAGGGTCTCACTCTAGCCCAGACTGGCCTCCACCTCTTCATCCTCCCACTGCAGCCTCCTGAGTACTGGGAATATAGCCGTGTGGTACCACACCTGGGTCTCTCTACTGTTCTCCAGTCATACTCTCATTCTCTGTTGCAGTCACAAGTGAATACGTGGACTTTGCTTGCTTGTTTCTAAGGTCCATAAATTCTATTTCTCATGTTTGAAATAGTTCTTATACTTCCTTTTTTGGTTTGTTTTTTGAGACAGAGTTTCCCTCTAGCCCCAGCTGGCTGAAAACTCATTGTATACACTGGACTGGCCTCAATTTCATTATGACCCACCTGCCTGTGCCTTCTGAGTGCTAGGATTCAAGGCATGCACTACCTGGCCCAAAATATATTTTTAAAAATTTATTATTTTTATTTTATGTGTATAAGTGTATTGCCTGCAAGCGTGTAGTATACCCGTGCCGTGCAGTACCTTCAGTCAGAAGAGGGCATCAGATCCCCTGGAACTGGAGTTACAGATAGTTGTTAGCCACCATGTGAGTGCTGGGGATTAAACCCAAGTCCACTGCAAGAGCAGCCAATGCTCTTAACCGCTGAGCCATCTCTTCAGCCTTCCAAAATACTTTTAAAAGCTCTAGACAAGCTGGTTGTGGTGGTGCATGCTTTTAATACCAGCACCAGCAGAGGCGGGTGGACCTCTGTGAGTTCCAGGCCAGCTGGGGCTACAGGGAGACCCTGTCTCAAAAAGACCAAAACAATAACAACAAAAGCTCAAGACAAATAGCTGAAGTGGTCCAAATAGGGAACCCTTTGTTCTGAACATTGGTGAGTATTTTGGAAGGTTTAGAGATGAAAAATGGGCTGTGGTCTAGAGCCTTCTGTATGTGGCGTCTCTAAAATGTCGTGCTTGAACATTAATTCTCCTCATTATCTTGGGACTGAATCCCTGGTAATGTGTCATAGAGCCCTACCACCTCTTCTGTTCACCTGGCAGTGCCTGCACCATGTTCTCTAACTTGTCTGTTCAAAATGCTGAGCTGTATTTGCCTCTACCTAAAGTCAGTTCTAGTTACAAATTGGATCCCAGCTTCTCCTGTATAATGATGAAGCATTATTCTAACATTTAGTACAGTGATTCTCAGATTTTTAAATCTCAGGATCTCTGCTCTGGTTTGCTTTCTGATGCTGTGATAAAACACTGTGAGTTCAAGGTCAGCCTGATCTACATAGCAAGTTCCAGGACAGCTGGGGCTACAGAGAAGACCCTATCTCAAAAAGACCAAAAAAGATAAAAGGAAAAAAAAAAAAACAAAACAAGAAAACACTGACCAAAAACAACTTGGGGAGGAAAAGGTTTATTTAGCTTATAGCTCACAGTCCATCACTGAGGGAAACCAAGGCAGGAACTTAAGGTGAGTTCCTTGGAATAGGAACTGAAGCAGAGACCATGGAGGAACACTGCTTACTGCTTGTTTCCTCTGGCTTGCTCAGCTACTCTTTATTTTTTTTGAGGGGGGTTGTGTCTTTTTGAGACAGGGTCTCCCTGTAGCCCCAGCTGGCCTGGAACTCACTATATAAACCAGGCTGGCCTCGAACTCACAGAGATCCTCCTGCCTCTGCCTCCCAAGTGCTGGTACTAAAGGCATACACCACCACGCCTGGCTCATTTATTCACTCTAGAAAATGATAAAGTAATAAAGTCATCATATGCTAATTTAATTACTTTACTTTTTAATGAAAAGTAATTTTCCAAATAAACTGAAAGGACAAAATTGATTTCTTTATTTTATGTGTATGACTATTTCGTCTACATGTATGTAAGTGTACCTTGTGTGTGCCTGGTGCCCTTGGAGGCTAGAAGAGGCATCAGATGCCCTGGAACTGAAGTTATAGGCAGTTGTTACTTGCTATGTGGGTGCTAAGAACTGAGGGTCCTCTGTAAGAACAGCAAGTGTGCTTAACCGCTGAACCATCTCTCCAGCTCCTGGAACTAATTTAAATCTTTGCAAATCTCATTGATGTCTGGTTTAACAGTAGACAGCAACTAGGTTCTGAATTGTCTATTGTGAAATATTTAGCTGAAGTATAAGAAAAAAGTTGAGCCTTATCCATAGTAGAAACGGAAGATGCAGCATAAAGAAATGCTGGTCCATAGAGGTTAGCTATATGAATCTGAAGGTGACAAAGAACTTTTCATACTTTAGCAGTGAAATTTAGGATCTTGGGGCTGGAGAAATGGCTCAAACCTGGGTTCAATTCCTAGCACCCACATAATAGCTTACAACCATCTGTAATCCAGTTCCAGGGATCCATCATCTGCTTCTGGGCCTGCCATCACCAGGCACATACATGGTGCACATACAGCCATGCATGCAGAACTCATACACATAAAAATAATAAAAATTAAAAAAATTCATCATCCTTTTCATGCATGTATACCCATGGTTGTATAGTATCAAATATTGATCATGTAGGTTTGCTGAGTTTCACAGCCCTTCCACATGTTGACCTATCTTAATTATACACCATCAGAAAAATCACTTGTGGGTTGGTGAGGTAGAGTAGAGTTGCTTGCTCCCAATCTTGACAGCCTGAGTTCGATCCCCACGTCCCATGGTAGAAGGAGAGAACTGACTCCGGCAGTTTGTCTTCTGACCTCTGTAGACTAACCGTGATGAACATGATGCCCTCCCCATGAAAGAAAGAAAAAAAAGGAAGGAAGGAAGGAAGGAAGGAAGGAAGGAAGGAAGGAAGGAAGGAAGGAAGGAAGGAAAGAATAAAATAAATAGAAAGAAAGTCACTTACAGCTGGGTGTGGTGGTGCATACCTATCATCCCAGCATTTACAGACTGAGGCAGGATGATCATGACTATGAGGCCAGACTGGGTTGTATCAGAAGTCTTAAAAATAATGAGACGCTAGACTAGAGAGATGACTCAGTGGTTAAGAGCACTGACTGCTCTTGCAGAGGACCCAGGATTCGAGACTCAGCACCCACATGGCAGCTAACAGCTGTCCACAACTCCACTTCCAAGGAATCCGATGACTTCTTCTGACCTCCATGGGCATTGCATGACACGGGTGCACTTACACACATGCAGGCAAAACAGTAATAGACATAAAATAAAAATAAATTTTAAAAAAAGAGAGAAATGGGAAAGTTCATGGTCATACATACAGTTTTTGAACTTACACTTGACAGATTGTTATCATTGCCAACAAATATTGTCAGTTGTTTTCCTTGGAGTAAGGCTCACCTTTATATCTAGAGGGCTATGCCATCTTTAAATACAGGTTTTACTTCTTTCTGTTTCAGAGGCCCGTGTTTCCTTTTGTTGCTGTTTTACCACTAGCTCTTCCAGTGAAGATCTTAGCCAGAAATGTAAGAGCAGGCATCTTTTCCTTGTTTCTAATTTCAGGAGGAGAACGTCCATTTTTTCCGTCAGATATGCTGAGCTGGGCGTGGTAGCACACACCTGCTCTTGACAGGTTGAGGCAGGCAGATCAGTCACAGGTTCAAGACCAGCTTGGTAAACATGAGTTCCAGGCCAGCCAGTGCTCCATAGAGGGACCTTGTCTCAAAAAGCCATCCCCAAACCCCGTAGGTATCTTTTATCATTGAGAAAGTTCTCTGAGATATATGATGGATTTTGTTCAGAATATTTTCAAGTTCTTTTTGATTCTTCAGTCAGTGGGTTTTTTGGGAGTATGTGTTTAACTCTGCACTTTTCTAGATATTTTGTTGCTATTGATTTCTATTTGAATTTCATTTTGGCCAGGGACTGTATTCTGTGATACTTTGAGCTTTTGAAATTTCTTGAGCTCTTTTTTTGTCCTGTATATTGTCTAGCTTATGAACACTTCACTTGAACTTGGAGATGATATATGTTCTACAATTACTTGGACTGGTGTTTTATAACTATCTGTTAGGCTAAGGTGGTTAATAATGTTTAGATTACCTGTATCCTGATGTTTGTTGTATTTTCTATTAATTACAGTCAGTTGTGGATTTTTTTTGTTGTTGTTTCTGCTGATTTGAGTCCAAAATTTTGATTTGATAACTTGTATTTCTCTGCTGAGATTTCCATTTATTCACTCATGAGATATTTCCTCTTCTGGAAAATATTCGTAATTGATGCTTTGAAGTCCTATCGGCTGATTGCAATGGTTGGTTCACCACAGTATTGGTGTCTGTTGACAGCCTGTCGTCCCCTCCTGCCTTCCCTCCTTCTCCTGCCACTTTCTTTTTTTTCTTTCTTTTTTTTCCCTTGAGACAGGGTCTCACACTGTAGTCGGAGGCTGTCCTTGAACTTGGATTCTGCCACACTCTCCTGAATGTTGGAATTACATATGTGTGACACCATGTCTGGCTAACAAGTTTTTCTTTTTTTTCTTCTAGTATATTTTGTTATATTTTCCTGTCAATTTACATGTTAGGTCCTTTAAAAATTGTTCTTGGAAATGAATGATACATTGTAGAGATTTGGGCTGTCTCATTTCTTTGAAGTCTGTTAATCTTTAGTTGATAGTTTACATGGCCCAACTTGAACCTTGAACTGTCTGCTTTGCAGTGTTCAGTAGCTAACCCTTCTGCTCACTCTTCTTAGTTTCTGGCTGCTGCTCTTGGGGCTTAATAGGATACCTTCTGCACATGCAAAGCTTCATGGCTCCCTAAGGATTTGGGTGGAGTTTATATGTAGATAATGGGGGTTTATCCTTTTGCTGTTTCTCCCTGCAGGATTTCTCCTTTCATTTCTAGCTACTTTTTCCACTGCCACCTCAAGCCCATTAACCCCCTTTAGCCTATGGCCTATTTGAGCTGTGCAGATTGGGAAGTTGCCCTCTGGCAAAACAGCCCCCCAGGACTCTCTTCAGTGTAGACTCCCATCCAGTTTCTGCTTTGGCCCTTTCCCATGCCTTCACTTGGTTTATTTTGTCCAGGTTTTTCATTGTGGTTTAAGGGCAACTTAGTCGGAACCCACCTCCCACCCTACATGGGCCTGAGACATTATCTAGTTTTTTCATTACATGTGAATATTTCACAATGAATTGAGGAAGTGCATTGGAGCTGGGAAGACCCATAAGATAATCAGTCTAGTTCTATAACTTAAAAGAAAAAAGGAGACCCAGATAAATGAAGAGTAAGTTTTGAGGCAAAAAACAGTGGTTCTTGGTGCTCTGGAATGCCGTGCCTGCTTCTGAAGTAGGAGTTGGGACCATTCATAGGGAACTTTCCTCCTTCCCAACACCTTGCAATGCTCACCTGACTCATCCCTTTGTGAAGGTCTTAGTACACTTCTCACAACCTAAATAGCTGTGCATTCGCTGCCAGGGGTTCCATGATGAGAGGGAGACAGGCCCTGTGCCCTGGTCCTCACTGTAGAAGACAGATGGGTGATTTCACTGCTCCATGGTAGGATTTTCAAGGTGCCTTGAGAGCACAAAGGAAGAGTAAGTTCTTCTTTGGGAGGATGTGCTCAGGGAATGCTGCCTGCCGGAGTCTGTTCTCCAGGATATCAGTAACCAGCCAAGGTATGAAGGAAAGGAGGCTTGTTAAAGGAAGAGGGTCTTGTGTGTGCTGAATCAATTGGATATGGAATGTCACGGTGTTAGGGATGGAGTGGGTGGCACAAAAAGTGACATGAGGTTTCATGAGATGGACTGGAGAGGTAAGCAGGGCAGGGGCCTGGTCCCAGAATGCCTTGGAAGCCTTTCAGGGGAGCGGGGTCTACACCCTACAGGCAAGGAGAGCCATAGAAGGAGTCATAGCTGCTCTGCATTTTGGATGGACAAATCATGTGGCAGACATAGAATATTTGAAAGACACCAGTTTGGAAGTTGAGCAAATACACGGCTGTTGCAGGAGCTCAGGCTGAAGGTGGTGAAGGTGGTAAAGGCTAAGCTGTGACAGTGGTGCTGAGAATGGAGAGAAGGAATGAAGCGGTTAGGGGACACGATGGAGGGAAAGGAGGGAGAGCAATAAGGCATGCCATTGATGATCTGAAAGCTAGCTTGTCGCTCAGAAACAAAAGCTAGGTTCTAAGGGGTTAAGGAAGGAATGAAAAGTGAAGAAATGGAGACAGTGGATACAGGCTCTTTCAAGAAGCTAAATGAGAAAGGGTTCAGGGTGTAGCTCAGTTGGTAGAGTATCTGCCTAGCATTCACAAAGCCCTGGGTTCCATCCCCAGCACCACATAAACTGGACATAGTGACACATACCTGTGATCCCAGCACTCAATAAGTACAGGCAGGAGGGTCAGAAGGTCAAGGTCATATTCAACTGTAGAGTGAGTTGAAGGCCCACTTGGGATATATGAGACCCTGTCTCAAATAAAGGAAAAAAGAAGGGCTGGAGAGAGTTTGAAATGTGCGGTCTACTCAACTACTTTCTTGAACCTCAGCCCTGAATCAGCTTCCATAATACCTTGTCTCTAGTCCTTTTGTCATGTCCTGGCCACCTTTGTGAGCTTCTCTTCCTCTGTGAGCCCTTAAATGTTTCTCAGGACTCTGTCCCTAGCCCCTTGCTCTCACTCCATGCTTGCTCTCACTAATTTTTATCTAGTCAGACCTTCATCCACTATCTGTATGTATATGGTTCCAGATCTGTACTTCTCCTTAGTCTAGTGTGTCTGGTTCCATTGGAATGGTAGATTCCCCTGTCAATGTGCACTTGGGGTCCCTCACATGTAGCTGTGAGCAGCATGCAGAGCATTCCCACTCTAAGCCTGCTTCTCCTCTTACGCTCTCTAGTGAATGAGGTGGCAACTGTATTTGTCTGGTCACTCCAGTTACTAATTGGTGAGGCTCACTGACCTCCTTTGGCCTGTGCCTAATGGTCACCAAATCCTATGTGTATGAGTGTTTTGCCTACATGTATGTAAGTGTATCAGGTGGAAGCCAGAAGAGGCTGTTGGATCCCCTGGAACTGGAATTAAGTATGATTGTTACTGGCATGTGGGTGCTGGGAACCAAACCCAGGTCTCCAGCCCCCTATGTTCCCGTTTTAAACCCATTCTCCCTGGATGAAGTCTATCTTTTTACTGTGTCCTACAAAGCTCAGTGTGATCTGGCCTCTGCATATCTTTCCAGCATTGACTCACCACCACTGCTTTTGTCACACTCTGGGCTCCAGCCATACCAGTGTGTCCTGCACAGACCAGGCCACTTCTTGTTTCTGCACCTTTGCTTTTGTTGTTCAAGCTGTGCACTTTTCTGAAATGCCCTCCTGACCCTCTATCCCTACTTTCCTCCTTCAGTCCCCTGGGAAGCATCTTTTCAGAGATGGCTTGGGGACCAATCCCATTATGCCCCTCCTGATCACCCTTGTCTGTCCTGGTTACATTTTATTTACCATGTGTCCCAAGATGAATGTACTCCTTCTGTTTCTTTGATACACCATACACATTTCTACCATAGTTTTAAAGATTGTATTTATGTGTATGTTTGTGTGTCTGTGTGCATGTATGTACATGTGTGTGGGTATCCTCAGGGACCAGATGAGGGCATTAGATTTCTGTGGAGCTGGAGTTATAAGTGGTTGGGAGCTTCCCAGCATGCTGGGAATAAAATTCTGATCTTCTGCAAGAACAGCTAGTGCTCTTAACCACTGAATCATGTCTCTAACCCCAGTTTTTACCTTTTAATTATCATTTAAATGTCTGTCTCTGGCATGCACAAGACCTGTGCAAGCTGTAGCCATATAGAATCCCAGCATGGAGGGGCGTGGGAGACTGGTCCCACCCCTAGCTGAAGGGCTGTTGGCATGGATAGCTATTGGGAGAAAGAGTTATCTTCCTTTAGGAGTGTGGCCCCTGGTAACTCAGCCATGCTCCAGTGGATGGCCATCTACCCGAGTATATGGGCAGCACAAATTGGACTCGGTGGATTAAAAAAAAAAAGAGAGAGAAAGAAAGATAGCTAGGGGACAGGAGAGATGACTCAGTGGTTAAGAGCACTGGCTGTTCAATCCAAGCACCCACATAGTGGCTAACAACCATCCGTAACTCCAATTCCAGGGAATATGACAGCCTCTTCTGACCTCCGAGGGCATTGCACTGACACTACTGTACCTACCTACATACAAGCAATACTACTTATACACATTAAATAAAAATAATAAAATACTTTTTTTTTTTTTTTTTTTTTTACAAAAAGACAGCTAGATGTGGTGGTGCCTGCCTTTAATCCTGGCATTCAGGAGGCAGAGGCATGTGGATCTCTGAGATCAAGGCCACCTGGGGCTACAGGGAGAATCTTTGTCAAAGAAAAGGGGGGGGCACGAAGTTGAATAGGTATGGAAGAGGGGGTGATCTAGGAAGAGAGGGGAGGGTGAATATGATCAAAATGCAATGTATGAAATTCTCGAAGAATTAATAAAGTTTTTTTTTAAGTGTTGGTCTCTGCCACTTGGCCTGAGTTCTTCAAGACAGATGCTGTGTCACCCTTTTTACTACCCTGGCAGTGATAAGCCCCTCATGTGTAGTGAGAGCTTAGTAGATGTTTGTTGAATGGACAGTTCAGTTATGAACTCTGTGGGTACCTGCTAAGAGTGAGTTGAGCTTGCTTTCTTTTAAAGTACTTTTTATTTTGAGACAGGACCTCACCAAGTTGTCTAGGCTTGCTCTGAACTCACATAGGGCCCCAGGCAGGCCTTGAACTTGTGATCTTCCTGCCTCAGCCTTTGGAGTACCTGGGATCACAGACCTGTGTCACCAGGCCCAGCTGTGTTGAGCCTTTTTAGAGAATGACAAAGGTTTAAAACAGTTGTCTAAGAGTGGAAAAAGTGTCTGAAAGGACTGAGAAGAGGTTAAATTGTGTTTTGTTTCTTTAATTTTACTGCATACAGCTTAAAGATTTTCACATACTTTCCTCTCTACGCTTAAAAAATTCTCAGGGTTTTGGCTCATCAGCATGTCTCTTGATTACAGATCCAATGGATTTGAACAGAAGCGCTTTGCCAGGCTCGCCAGCAAGAAAGCGGTGGAGGAGCTTGCCTACAAGTGGAGTGTTGAGGACATGTGACTTCTCCGAGTTTGCATTGCACTGTGGGTAGCAGTAGTGGCACAGGACAGCTGGACATCCAGCTCCAGTGGTTGCTTCACCAACAGACAGACCAGCAGCTTACTGTCTGTTCTGCCTTCAGACCAGGCACCTAACTGTGGCTGTGCCACACTGCCTGTGGTGGCTTCAGTAGAAAGCAGTACCTGCCATATCCAGGGTTTGTTCTTGGCTGGCGCTTTCCTTTTTTTTTTTTTTTTTTTTAAATAAATGTATTTATTTTTTGTAATCGTTTTCTAACTGGGTATTCTGTTTTGTTGGGGAATAATTTCAGCTAATATTGAATGTCTGGAGGTCTTGGGAGTCATGAATGGTTGGATTTTTTATTTAATTTAGCAAACTGTTCGAGCACAGTCTTTGTAAGTGATACTGTTTCTTCTGAGAAAACCAGAGTTAGCATTAAACTAGATTCAGGAATGTTGGAGACATGGTATGTGATAATGGTGGTGTCACACATTAGGGGAAGATGTGGATCTGGGGTTCAGACAATAAAAATAAAGTGGGGTCCCTCACACACCATGCAAAACAATCCTAGAGTGATGAAGGACTTAAATGAAGTTTGTCTCAGTGAAGCGAACAGGGGCCTGGGGTTGAGCTTATGTGAGAGCCCTGGGTTGGTGATCCCCAGCAAAAAATAGTAATAATAAAATCTAGTAGGAACAAGTGATGAATTGTACCTTAGTGTGAAAATGGATTTTAAAAAATATTTTTTATTATTTTTATGTGTATATTACCTTCATGCATGTAAATGCACCTGTGTCATGCAGTGCCTGTGGAGGTTAGAAGAGGGCATCAGATTCCCTGAAACTGGAGTTAGGGTGGTTGCTAGCTGCCATATGGGTGCTGGGAACCAAACCCAGGTCTTCTGCAAGAGCAGCCAGTGCTTTTAATGGTTGAACCATCTTTCCAGCTCCCATGAAGAAAAGATTTTAAAATAAGATTTCAAAGCACATAAATATAAAATGTGATTGCTCTGACAACTTTCTAATGCGAGAGTCTCTGTGCAGAAAGCAGCCCATGGAGTTAAGATGGGCATGGATTTGGAGAAATAGGTGCAGTATTTAAAATGATGAGGGAATGAATGTGTGAAGGGTTGGATATATAATAGGACTACAAACCAGGAAGAAAAAGATAACACAGTGGAAATATGCATAGATAAAATCAAAAGAAATCTAAATAGCTAGTATGTGATAGCTCACTGTGTTGCCTCACTGGCAATTAACTAAATTTAAATTGAAACGTGTAGTTTCTACTCTATAGCTGTTAGTAAGAAATGAGCAAGAGGGAGCTGGAGAGGTGGCTCAGTGATTTAAGAACACATACTACTCTTGCAGAGGACCCCCCCCCCCCATGTCAGGTGGCTTACAGACACCTGTAACTCCAACTCTGGGTGATCTGATCACCCTCTTTTGATGTCTGCAGGCACTGCACTCCCATGCACATACAGGCACACATATACACAATACAATTTTCTAAAGAAATGAGCAAGAGGCTGAGATCTTATGGAGATGAAAACTCATTGCAGCTTCAACTGGTGTATCCATTGTGGAGTGCAGTCAGACAGCACTTACTGAAATTAAATAAGATTTGGGAAGCAATATTGTGTAGTTTTTCAGAATGGTCTTTAGAGCAACACCGCCTGATGTTGATTCTCAGTTGTGTCATTTGCTAGCTCTGTGACCTATGGTGAGCTGCTTAATTTCTCTGTGCCTTAGTTTCTTCATCTGTGAAATAGAGATAATGGTACCTACCTCCTGGGTTGATTGTAAGCTTAAAACAGTGCCTGGCACATAGTAAATGTTTTGAAATTCTTAGCTAGTAGTATTATCCTTGTCTTCAGTATCAAGTGTGGCAGCAGCTTCCAAGATGGCTCCTGTGGTCTCTGGTCTCTCGTATTCAAACCCTTCAGTAGTCCCTTCCCAGAGTGAGTAGGGCTGGCTTCTGTCACCAATGGGCTGTGCTAGAATGGCATGGCTCTTAAATGGTCATAAAAGACATGGAAACAGTGTCCTCTTATGTCACTTGGAGCAGCCTTCCGGGGGCCTGTATAGAGAAGCACTGAAGCCTCCCCCAGCACAGCAGCAAGTAGAAAGCCAGCTGGGCCGGGCCCTCCAGGTTCCCAGTCAGATGCCTGTAGCCTTTATCCACTACTTGACCCCAACCTGCCAAGATGCTGAGGCAGAGCCACCAGCTCCACTCTGTGACTCAAAGAAGCTGTGATGATAGGTGATTTTTTGTTTTTCTTTTTTTTTTTTAAAGCTTTATTGAGAGAGAAATTAGTCCACAATCCATTTCTTTAGTGTAGGACTCGGTTGGTTTTAGTGTATCACAGAGGTGTGCAACCTTCAGCACAGTGAATTTTAAAATATTCTCATCACCTGTGGGGACTAGAAACTTTGTGCTTATTATTGGCCATGCCTCACTTTCCCCACCTACCTCCTCTCTAGATAACCACTGATCCAATTTCCATCCCTAAAGATTTGCTTCTTTGAGACTTTGATATAATGTGAGTAGAGCTGTCATATAATATGTGACCTTTTGTGTCTGCTTCTTTCATGTTGTATAAGGTCTTTATGCTCTATCCGTGTTGTGACATCTACTTCGTTCCTTTTTATGGATGAAATTTCCTTGTGTGTGTGTGTGTGTGTGTGTGTGTGTGTGCATGTGCACTCTTACACATATTTTTTAATTCATACAAATAAATTGTAATTGTTTCCACTCTGGGATTATGAATTGCTGCTATGAATAATTCACACGTGTTTTTGGTTGTGTGTTTCCCTGTTTTTTGGATATGTATGTATATACCTAGGAGCAGAATTATTGGGTCATATGGAATTCCATGTTTTCACTTCTTGAGGAACTGCCAAACTTCTTCCTAAGAAGCACATCAGAGTTATTTTTCTGCACCCTTGGCCAGTGCTTTCTATTTTAGTGGGTGGGTGTAAGGTGGTAACTCTCACTGTGATTTTGATTTCCATAGTGGCTAATGATGTTAAGCATCTTTACATATCTTCTTTATTAAAGTACTTTGCCAATTTTTCATATATTAATGACCCTGTATATGTATATACATGTGAATATTATATGTATAAATATATATATATATATACAAACACTTTGATGTAAATTATTTATGGGAGTTTGGGAACCCAGTGTTTACCTAGCTTGTGCCATTTGCAAGGCTCTGGATTCAATTCCCAGCATTGCAAAAACCAAAAGAGGTTATATATTTGATAATGAATCCATTACAGGACATATGATTTTCAAGAATCGCTCTGATTCTGTGAGTTACTGTTAAAGCTGCTACAGTACCTGGGAGAGATTATTGGAATTTGGGGGAGGTAATTGTTACATAGCAGTAAGTAACTAATAAATATGTAAGTCAAGCATGGTGGCCCATACCTGTAATCTCAGCACTCAGGAAATGGACATAGGTAGACCAGGATTTTAGGCCAGCTGGACTATATGAAACCCTGTCTCAAACAAAACATGCAAACACACTAAAGCAGTTCTACTCCTGGCTATGTCCTTCAGAGAGACTTGAACAAACTAGTTATATAGAATGTTTAGCTACGTAGGAAGCTAGAACTAATATATTCCTAAGGGAATCGATAGATGTATATACATATGATGGAATATTGTGTTTTTTTTTATCATCAGGGGCCAGTGAGAAGGCTCAGTGGGTAAAAATTCTTGCAGCCAAGCTTGATGACTTGGGCTGGATCCCTGGGACCTACATGGTTGAAGGGGAGAAACAACTCTCAAAAGTCCTATGACCTCTATATGCATGCCCACACATATACACACATGCATACACATACACAAAATGAATAAAAATGTAATTTTATATATTTAAATTTAAAGAAGAATATTGAAAACGAAAGCTGGGGTGGAGGCAGGAGGATCAGGAGTTCATGGTCAGTCTTGACTACATAGTGAGAAGTCAGCACTGACTTCTCTCAACAGCTGCACTGTCCTTAGGCTTCTGTGAAGAAGACTGTATCTGTAAATTCCCATAGCTAACTGTCATCCTAGCTGAGGCCAGGGGGTCAGGAGTTCAAGGCCAGTGGAGAGTGGCTCGGTGGTTAAGAGCATGATGGCTCCAGTTCCAGGACATCCAACACCCTCTTCTGGCCTCCAAGGGCAATGCGGGACACGGGTGCACTCATACACATAAGATAAAAATAAATTAATTTGGGGCTGGAGAGATGGCTCAGCGGTTAAGGGCACTGACTGCTTTTGCAGAGGACCCGGGTTCAATTCCCAGCACCCACCCACATGGCAGCTACAAACCATCGTTAACTCCAGTTCCAGGGAATCCGAGGTCCTCGTCTGACCTCCAAGGCATTGCACGACATGGGTGCACTTACCTACGTGCAGGCAATAAATTCATACACATAAAAATAATAAACTAATAAAGCTTGGCGTGGTGGCGCACGCCTTTAATCCCAGCACTTGGGAGGCAGAGGCAGGTGGATCTTTGTGAGTTTGAGGCCAGCCTGGTCCACATAGTGAGTTCCAGGACAGCTAGGGCTACAGGGAAACTATATGGAGCACATTAATAAATCTACCTACAGCGTAAAAAAAAAAAATTACCAATGTTTAATCTTTCAATTTTGACAAATATCTCATAGTTGTGTAAGATGTTAAACTAGAGGGATTGTGTAAAGAGCATATTATACTGTCTTTACAAATATCTGCAAGTATAAAATTACCCTCCCATCCCCCCCCCCAAAAAAAAAGGCCTTCGAGGCCAGTGAGATGGCTTAGTGGATAAAGGCACTTGCTGCCAAGCCTGAAGACCCAAGTTTGATCCCTGGGTCCCACATAGTGGAGGGAGAGAACATTCTGCAAGTCCTTCATATGCATGTGACATGCGTGCACTGAACACAATAATCAATTAGTTTTTAAGGTCTTTAAAAAAAGGCCTCCAACGAATCCAGGTTCTGGACAGTGACTTCTATTTCTTTTTTTGTTTCATTTTTTCATTTTTATTTTATTTAAAAATTTTTAATTGAATTTTTGTGTATTTCATACAGAAAATCATCTTTATACCCCCTTCCCATTTGGTACTCTTTCGGGGGTAGTGCCCCCACTGAAGTTCATACGTTCTGTCATTTGTGTTAAGGCCTATCATGTAAAGTTAGTGTCCCCACATGTTCCTCAGTGCAAGTTCATCCACTGGGATCTAGCCTGCCTAACTCAGCAGTAATCAGCTGCCAATAATTCTTCGACTAAGATTGGGACCTGCTGTTTATTTCCACAGTTCTGTGCTGGGTTTTTGTCTGCTTAAGTGTATCTTCTATTTCCGAGATTCTACTTTAGGAGACTGTTTGCAAGCCAGTGCCTTTCCTTAGCCCCAGGTGGCAGTGCGTGGGTTTAACTCCTAGCCCTTTGGCTCCTAACCCTACCTGTGATCAGAGTTTTCACTCTGGGTTCATGTTCAGACTGTAGCTTAGGAACAACTTGTTTTAGGCCTGGGTGTTTTAGAAAGTGTAGAGGAAGCACAAAGATTCTATTCTAGGTGAGCTCTCTGTGTAGTCAGCTTTGATTAACATGTCTAAACCTGCCAAGGCTTGGTGGCGCATGCCTTTAATCCCAGTACTTGGGGGGCAGGAGCAGGTGGATCTCTGTGAGTTCGAGGCCAGTATGGTCTACATAGCAAGGTCTACATAGCGAGCTCCAGGCCAGTTGGGGCTATAGGGAGACCCTGTCTCAAAAAGACCAAAACCAAAAAACAACAAACCACCACCACCCCAACAACAA